ATATATATATATATATATATATATACACACACACACACACACACACACTGGTTCAATTTGTTGATATTAATTATGAAGAATACCAAATCATGGAAGAATTATTAAAATATAAAAATAAATAAAGTTCACTTATTTAAAATAGTCATTGTACTTTGTAGTTTCTAGGCTTTTGACACTTATTGTTCTTTAATTGAGAATAGAGTACCAACAAAAATTTGAGGAACGAACAGTTAAAAGTAATTCTGTATACATAAATACTTAATTCTAATATCATGTAATTTTTAATAATGTTTTTCTCTGCGAAAGTTGTAAAATGTGGAGATGTGAGAAGTATTGATTATATTGAAAGAATAATATTTTTCATACAATATACTTGTTTAGTATATTATAATTTATAGAAACAATTATTTTGGTTACGTTGTTGCAGTAGTAGTGTAATGGAAGAAACAGCTGCTAAAATTGATCAGAATGAAACTGAAACCAACTGGGTTGAGGAAGAAGAGTATCAACATGTACAAAGTAGGTTCACTTAAAAGAAAGTAATTTTGTTTTGAAGAGATGTTTGACAAGCTGTAAATTATTCCTTAGGAATGAAACAAAAAAAAATTCAATTTGTAAAGAAATAGTACATCATCTTATTTTGTACTATTCTCAAGAAATAATTGTCATACTAATAATGGATCAAAAAACAGGGAAAAGAGGTTTTTAAAAGAGATTGAGAATGGATTTTTATATCAAATGGTCATAAAGAAAAGGGTAGGATATTTTATATTTATTGCTAACCACCAATGAAGAAATATGTGATTGAAAGAGTTGAAGTAAGGGAATATTTGGCAATGAATGGTCATTGCATAATTAGGTTTGATGCTTTACTAAATGGTGAGATAAAAATAATTGAAAGTTTGGTTTCTAATTTTCAAAAAGCCAATTTTTGAGACAAAGAAACCTGTTTTATCATTAGTGAATTGGGATGGTGAGTTCAAAGATGATTTTGGACAGATTTGTAAAATTTATAAAAATAAATTCCTTTTAGTTCAAGATAGGAATGTTCCCAAATGCAGAAAAGGGATAATAAGGAAGATCAAACATATTTGGAGATTATCTAGGGGTTTGACAGAATCAAGACTTCTAACTTCTTTTTTCTATATTCAGGAGATAATAGGGCAGGAGGACACAAGTTTAAAATATTGGGAAGAAAGGTTATACTTCATTTAAGACAGCAGTGGAGGTCAGCACTTTAAAATAGTTTAAGAGTGCAATTGATAATTTTCTGAAAAAAAGGGTGGATTTAAAATTTCACTTTTCTCATGGGTGGGTGTTCAAAGACAGCTTTGAAGGACCAAATGGTTCTATATGAGAAATAGATGATAACTCGAGGTGATACATTCTCTGAGATCTGTAGTAAATTTTTCTCTAAATATTTTGAAAATTTAACTGTATATGGCCATTTTCGAATTGCTAAGATAATATGCATTTTTTTAAAGAAAAGAAACCTGTTTTATGTCATTTAGAACTTTGTTTGTTAATCATCTGTGCATTCATTGCATATTGGAACTTGTAATGATACAAGAGAAGAGCAAGATGATATAAAGCTGTTTGATCCATTGGCATTGTGGAACACCAGATTTAGGTGTGAGAGTTGATAAAATCTAAAGCTTACTGTATTTTACCCCAAAATTTGATGTCAAAATCTGCTTGCGT